ATTTTACCCATTAAAATAGTGGGCTATGTTCATAAGTCCAATTGTAATCCAGATTTCAAATAGCCATTAAAAATCAATTAATACTTTAACTTTAAAAAAAAAAAAAAAACCCAAATTTTATGTTGTCGGTGCAACTGCTACTGTCGACTGGCTCTATGTCTTCGTTCAACATTTAACTTCAAAAAGAAAAACAATTCAGGGAATCAAGCCATCAAATCAAGGTACTAAATCAATGAAATCACAATTGTTATTTTACCCTTTAACTTTCTTACCTGCTAAAAATAGTCCATTCCCTTTTTAGTTTTTTGAATCAAAGAAATAAAGACTGCAGCCTCGACCCTCTGCTACTGCTATCATTGAAGGGACCAGTCACTAGTGGATAGTGAAGTGGAGCACAAAGAGTAAGAGATACTCTCTTTCTCTTAGTCTTTTGCATGGACTAATGGACAAGACCACAAATTATAGGTTCTTTTATTTTAATTTAAACTTTTGTCTTATACTTGGTGTTGGTAAATATGTTCTAGTAATAAAAATTAGTAAATTGATATAGCATCTGATTAGTAGAAGAATCAAAAGGTTTAAAAATACCTTGAAGATGACAAAAGGTAAGTATACTTATTATTGAATAAGAGCAACTATATAGTCTATACTTTTAGCATCCTCTTTAATGTATTGTGTATCTAGCACTTATGATTAGGGATGCTATGGATTATATTAGAATTTTTTTTTTTGTTTATCATATATGCTAGTTTATTATTATTTATTTGCTTTTTGTTAGGATCATCAATATCAATGGGGGAAAAAAGGAACAATTGAATTTTTTTTTCTAAAGAAAAAGAGAAGAAGATTCAAGGGAAAATGAAAGGGCATACAAAAAAATAGTTGAGGATCTTCAACAAGAGCCTACACAAGTCATCTCTAAAGAGCCTACACAAGAAGAAGATTCAAAACTCAGTATAGATGGTTTTCTTATTAAGCGTGATCCTAGAAAACGGAAGCATATATATATGAATATCCCCTGAAAGAGCAAGATCAAATTTAAAGAGCTTATCTTATTGCTGGTGCATATCAACCAAAACAAGATGAGTATAAAAAATCTAGACCTATAAAATCTAGACCTATAGGCCATCAATGTCGCTTTATGCCTTCATGGTTTACAATTAAAATGTTTTCATTGTGGTTGGAATATTCTCTTGAGAAAGATGCAAGTTCTTGTCTCTATTGTTTTCTCTTCTATAACTCAAAAGGAAATTCTGGAGGTGGTGGAGGACATGATGCATTCTTTGTGGGGGATTTTCAAAATGGAAGAAAGTAGGAGATGGGAAGAGATGTGCTTTCTTAAACCATGTAGGAAATGATCCAAACTCTTCTCATAAAATCAATGAAAGAGCTTGTCAAGATTTGATGAAGCAATCTCAACACATTGAACATTTGTTTCATAAGAAGACTGCACAACAAGTTTAAGATAATTGGCTATGACTTCAAGCTTCAATTAATACAGTGAAATAGCTTGCAACTCAAGGTTGTGCTTTTAGAGCTCATGACGAAAGTAACAACTCGAGCAATCACAAGAATGTTCTTAAAACATTGAAGTTATTGTCAGTTTATAATGAGAATGTTAGACTTGCCATGGAGAATACTTCTCAAAATGCTTTGTATACTTCATTAAAAACTCAAAAAGGAGATTTTATAAGTATTGGCAAATAAAGTGAGAGAAAGTATTCACTAAGAGATAGGTGATGCTAAGTTTTGTATTATTGTTGATGAAGCAAGAGATGAGTCAAAGAGGGAGCAAATGGCCTTGATTCTAAGATTTGTTGAAAAAAAAGGCTTTTTGAGAGAGCACTTCTTTGGTGTGGTTCATATGATAGATACATCAGCTAAAACGTTAAGCGATGCTATTGTTTCTTTGCTTCATCATTATGATCTTGACATTCAAAACATTCGCAGTCAAGGATATGATGGTGCAAGTAATATGAGAGGTGAGTTTAATGGACTTCAAGCTTTGATTAGTAAAAAATGTCCTTATGCTTACTGTACTTGCTACTTAGCTCATCGTTTGCAATTAACTTTAGTTGCATCATCAAAGAAGGTCTTTTTCGTGTATAATTTTTTTTTCAAACTTGGCATGCATTGTCACTGTTGTTGTAACTTCTTCTAAGCACAACGATGAATTGAAATCTATTTATGCTTCTAAAATTGCTCAACTGATTGAAAATAATGAGCTTGAAACTAGAAGTGAGCTTAATCAAATTGGCACTTTATAGCAACTTGGTGACATTCGTTGGAGTTTACATTTGAAATCTATTTTGAGCATGCTAAAAATGTCCTTATGCTTACTATATTCGCTACTTAGCTCATCGTTTGTAATTAACTTTAGTTGCATCATAAAAGAAGGTCCTTTTTGTGTATAATTTTTTTTCAAACTTGACATGCATTGTCAATGTTGTTGTAGCTTCTTCTAAGCACAACGATGAATTGAAATATATTTATGCTTCTAAAATTGCTTAACTGATTGAAAATAATGAGCTCAAAACTGGAAGTGAGCTTAATCAAATTGGCACTTTATAGCAACTTGGTGACACTCGTTGGAGTTCACATTTGAAATCTATTTCGAGCATGCTAAAAAAATTTAGTGCAACTTCTACAGTTCTCAGCAAGATGATTGAGGAAGGATCTACGTCTTCTCAACGTGGAGAAGCATTTAAAGGTAATATAATACATTGAAATCTCTAGAATTTGTCTGAATTCTACATCTTAGAAGAAAATTCCAAAGGTAACTAATATATGTTTCTTTTTTTATTGGCAGGATATAATGCATTGATGTCTTTTGAGTTTGTTTTAGTTTTACATCTTATGAAAGAAATCATGGAGATCACTAATATGCTTTGTCAAGCTTGATAGCATAAATCTCAAGATATTTTGAATGCCTTGAATCTTGTCAAATCAACGAAGGCTCTCATTCAACAATTCAAAAAAAGTGGGTGGGATTCTGTACTTGAAAAGGTAAAATCATTTTGTAAGAATAATAATATAGATGTTCTTGACAGGCTTGCTACATATGTTGCACAAGGAGGACATACTTGTCATCAACAAGATATTATTACTGTTGAGCACAATTATCGAGTAGATATTTTTTATGTTGCAGTAGATTCCCAATTGTAAGAATTGAATGGCAGATTTAATGAAAATGCAATGGAATTATTGATTCTTAGCAATGCTTTGGATCCTAGAAATGGGTGCAAGAGTTTCAATATTAATAATATTTGCAGGCTTGTAGAAAATACTATTCTCAAGATTTTTCAGAGATAGAGAAACTTAATTTGAGAATAGAGTTTCAACATTATGATATTAAAACAAGTTGTGATCAAGATTTTCAAAATTTGTCAAACATTTTTGAGCTATGTCAATGGCTTGTGGAGACAAAAAAATCAGAAATTTACAATATCATTTACAAGTTAATTACTTTGGCGCTTACTCTTCCAGTTTCTACAGCAACAACAAAAAGAGCATTTTTTGCCATGAAAATTGTGAAAACAAGCCTTCACAACAAAATGGCGGATGAATTCCTTTCAAACTCTTTGATTATTTACATTGAAAAGAAAATTGTTCAAACATTTAGTGTAAACTCTATTATTGATAAATTTCCTAACATAAAAAATCGTTGACTATTATTTTAATTTATGATGTAAAAGCAAGTTTTTGGAATTATAATGTATTATTTTGAGACTTGAAAATTTGGCCACCCTAGCTAAAATTCCTGGCTTCACCCCTAGTACCAAATATAACTCATACCCAACCTATACCCCAAAATGCTCACCCTTAAATGCAATCTGTCCTCCATTAATGGTTAAAAGTAATGCAATTTGCATAGAGCAAACTACACTTAAGTTTTCTGCCCAGTTAATGCCTGCGCTGTAAATGGACGCAGATGGATTGGGTTTCACAACGTAATGGACAATGGGCGATGGGCAAATATGCAATTCTAACATATAGTTAGAAAACACAAGTTTAAGTAGATCACACTCCATAGATTTGGGTGGTGTTTTACCTAACAAAACAGGGAACTCTTCATAGGGCTGGGCGTATTTCAATTGCACACCCATCTCTTTCGCCCCCTGTTGAAAGAGAAATTCACATAATTCTTGCGATTGTGATAATTGATACGACCAACTGTAACAAGTGAGTAAATGAGTAAATGTCCACAAGGACAATGGGTCAAAAACAAAGAAAATTCAAAATTTTTGTTTTGTTATATAATGTAGTTTAAATTGTATAATAATTTTTTTCAGTATTAATACTCCATTTGGACTACAATTTCTTCTCTGAAACGTCACCATTAGCATTTACACACCCACAATGTTTGTTGGCCAAAAAAAAAAAAAAAAAAAAAAAAAAGGGCATTTACACACCCATCTCTTTCTTCCAGCACCAGGGCAAGCCTTTAAGTAAAGGCTTCCAGTTAGCATAGACATTAATTCTCTTCTTGGATTCCCTGTGACCCATACAGGCAATATATGTGTACTGTCTAGTAGGTACAAAGATTTATAAACTTTAACGTCTTGCCCATTCTGCATTTCAGATGAGCTCCCTCTGCATGAGACAGAGTGTGCCACCTCAATTTAGTATTTTACATACTACCTTTACACCATCTTACTTGTCACAACATGTATTGTTAATTTATATTTTTTATAATATATAAATAATAATTTTAATTTTTTTAATAAATAAAATTACTTATTAAAAGAAATATTTTCATATTATCATTCATATAATATAAAAAATATATCACTTAAAAATGCGTATTGAAACAAGTAAAATGGGGCGCAGGTAGTACATCTAAAATTTGAATTTCTTGGATCTTTGCTTCAATGTCAAAATCTTAATACAGCTAGCCTCTAACAAATAAGCCAAGCCCCTTCTTATAGTTAAGTAATATATTGAATCAATTTGTGCATACTAGATTGAATTCTTACAATTGAGCAATATATTTAATCAATTTATACATATTAGCCTGAATCAAGTTTGTTTATAGAAAACTAACAATTTAAATGTTTTAGTGATAATTTTGTTTAAGTAAAAGTAAAAGTTCATGAGTTTGAATCATATAATATGAGAATAAAATAAATTACAGGATGAAATAAAGTTGTTTCTCATTATATAACTCAAGAAAAAAAAAAACTTTGTCTATAAAGAGGGTCATGTCTCAAAAATCTCATAAAAGATATAATTTTAGGTCTTTTTTTTAGTCATCAACAAAGATTTTATGATACAATGGGTTCTCAAACATATTATACAATAATTTTTACAAATAGAAACACTTTATAAAAATATTATTTCTTTATGGTACTTATCAAAACAATATTAGTTAATATTTTTAGGTAGTTTGATGAAAACCAGCCCTAAGCTAACTCTTTATTTTCATTGTCTATGGCTCAACTGGTTAACAGGTTAAAATTTGAAATTAGTGATGTTATATTTGTATTTTGATTCGGGCAGAAAGAGTTAGTTTTTTTATATGGTTCATCATTCAACACGTATCAAAAAAATTATTATAAATGGCAACTCCCTTAACTTCTGAAAAATGATCAATTAAATTCTTAAACTTTTATTTTTATTATTTTTATTTTTAAAACTTTGTTTTATTTCATATCATTTTAGTTCATTTTATAATCAATATGTTTTATTTTTTTCCCCTAAAAATATTTTTTTGATCCCTAAATTTTTTTTCCCCACCACACCACCGTATGGTTAAGAAACAGTGTCAAATTGTTTAAAGCATAAACCATATGATTAAAACATTTTCCTAACATGACAATTACGAAACATTTGATGGTCCAATCTCATCTTCCAATTACCGTATTTATACAACTACATCTCCGGTTACGTTGTGCTTCCTCAATCTATACAAGGCAAGCAGAATACAACAGCTCAGCGGTCCAATTTCCATATCACTTTCATCCGTCACCTCAGACATTGTTGATGTTATCTGTAATACTGAAATTTATGATATTGTATATATAAAAAATAAAAAAAATTATATAAAAAAAAATAAATAAATAAATTATTCATGTATTATTATTATGTTAGCTGCTTCCCCGCTATTTCTATTCGACTAAGTTCTTTCTACTTTGGTTTATTTATATCAAACGCATCCTAAAAAAGGTTAAACAAAACCTCAGGTTGTTAATGTTATTAACTTAATCTTTTAAGATCAGTTATTTCAGGTCCTCAGCTTCTTGATTATGCAATGATATATACTTTTGTTGCATCATCCTCTCTTCCTAGATTTTCTTTACATGCAATGAAAGATAGGATACTTAAATTACAAAATATATATAATTATAATATTACGTAATATTATAATATTATAAGATGATATATTTTTATATAATTGGTTTTTTTTACTTAAGCATCTACATATGATATTATGTAAATTTATTCATTTACTAATAAATCATACTTATTTAACACCATGCCATAATTATAAATTAATAAAATTATATAATATTATAATTACAAGCATTGCCACTAATAAGACCTTGATCGAGTTAATATCACTAATTTAAAAATCTAGATTTAGAGTTATGGTCAGAAATTTAAATCTTTGTACAATAAAGCAATTGATCCTTTAATGTATTGGAAAACTATAGTTATTGTTGAAATTATAAGTTTTGCAAAGATACTTCGCAAAAGGGGAAAGGGAAGTAAAAGAGAAGAAAAATTAAAACAAGAGAAAATCGCCGAAGATCGCCACAAAGCTCAAGAAGCTACTAGAGCTTCTAAGCACTCTCATTTGATTAAGTTCGAGGATTCAATCGGAACAACTATGAGATCAAAACCTAAATTGTTTCATTCTTCAAAGGTTCAGGATCACCCACCCAATCCACCCTAAAAAAACAAAAATTAGAAAAAACGAATTAATGAAAAGGTCAAAAAAGAGAAAAATAAAATAAAATAAAAATATCAAAGGGGCAACTAAAGAAAGAGGGAGCCTATGTACCAAAAAAAAAGAAAAAGAAAGAGGGAGCCGAGCCGAGTAAGAAGCCGAAATTCACGCTACGCGTATCCCGAAAAGAACACGTGCAGTTGCACGTGCAGAAACATACGCCCTAGTAAGAGAGAGTGAGCTCTCAGTAAAACAAGAAAAAAAATAAAAAAACAAAAAAGGTCTGCCTACAGAAGACGACAAACAACGACTGAACAGCACACTTGCGTATAAAAACCAACAGCACCAGCGGTACCACACAGCAAGGCCCAAAGACTCCTAGCTCCGATTTTTTCTCCCCCACAACAGACAGCCCATTTAGCTTTTCTCTCTTTCCCCCCACATTTCCTCCAAGCCGCAGAGATTTGGAGAGAGAAAAAAAGAAAGATTCAGTTTCAGAGGGAGAAACCAGAGAGGCCATTAATGTCTGTCATCGGGAAATCGTGAACGGAGGAGCTCTTGCTTTTCACGGAATCGTCAGTAGCCAGCCGGTGGCAGGAAAAATTCGTCTAGCAAACGAAAATATCAAAAACTGGCATTGTGCTCGTGTGATTTCTAAATTTGTAGATTCTTATTGAGGGAGAAATCGAGAGTGGAAAGAAGGAAAAATGGATCTTAGTAAGGCAACATTGGAGATCTTCACGAAATTGGAGCAGAAATGGCTTTCGCACTGTGACAAGGCGAAAAAGACACGAATTCTCAGCATTGACGGCGGTGGAACCACTGGCATTGTTGCCGGCGCTGCCCTTCTACACCTAGAGGACCAGATCTGCCTCAAAACTGGCGATCCGCATGCTCATATCGTCGATTTCTTCGATATTATTGCTGGCACTGGTGTCGGAGCTCTCCTCGCTGCCCTGCTATCTGCTGATGACGGCTCAGGCCGTCCCCTGTTTACTGCTAAGGAAGCCGTCAGATTCATTTCGGAGAAGAACTCCGAGCTTTTTAGGCCCAAGTTCGTCGGAGTGCTCTGCCGCCGCCGGAGATTCTCCGGCCAGAGTATCGATAAGGTGTTGAAGGAAGCTTTTAAGAGAGAGGACGGCACGGCCTTGACTTTGAAGGATACGTGTAAGCCTCTGCTGGTCCCTTGCTACGACCTCAAGAGCTCTGCTCCTTTCGTTTTCTCTCGCGCCGACGCCTCTGAGTCACCTAGTTTCAACTTCGAGCTTTGGAAAGTGTGCCGCGCCACGTCAGCAACGCCTGGCCTGTTCAAGCCGTTTTCTCTGACATCAGTAGACGGCAAGACTTCCTGCTCCGCCGTAGACGGTGGCCTAGCAATGAACAACCCGACGGCAGCAGCAGTGACGCACGTGCTCCACAACAAGAGAGATTTTCCATCAGTTAACAGTGTTGAAGATCTATTAGTCCTTTCCTTAGGTAACGGCCCCTCGTCTGGTGGACCGAAGGTTCGTTGTAACGGCGAGTGCTCAACGTCTTCTGTTGTCGACATTGTGCTCGATGGAGTCTCAGAGACCGTGGACCAGATGTTGGGGAATGCTTTCTGCTGGAACCGTACCGACTACGTCAGAATCCAGGTTCGTACATCAGTTCTTCTTACGCCGTTTCTGCTTGCTGCCAAGAAAATGAGAGAATATTAAAAAGAAAGAAAAGTAGTTTTTTTTTTTTTTTTTTTTATCTGTTTTGAACAAAGGGAAAGGGGAAAGGGGAAGAATGGGAGTTGAGAGAATCACTTCTGATTTATAGGTTAAGTGTAAATTTTTAAGTAATTAATAGAATTTAAATTTATTATTAATCTAATTTAAAGATTAAAACGTAGAATGAATCATTAAATTTGAACGGTTAGTATATAAAAGAAAACTTTTTTTTTGAACAGCAGTATATAAAAGAAAACTAGTTTAGTAAATGCGTTTATGCACCTTTTTTAAGTAAATGTACGTAAAAATTATAAAAGGTGAAATTAATTTTTAGTATTTTTAAATGGATAATTAATTAAATAATTAATAAATTAAATATTAT